TTCTGGAAGGCATTTTCTGTTGTGACCCTAGCTACTAGAAATTTTTCTGGCTAGATATTGAATTTGCATAATATTAATTGGTCCATCTGTATTTGATTGGTAACACAATGGGGCCCTTTAGAGTAGCTATTATTTCAGCCTGACTGTATTTAATATTTTACTGTGGCAATTCCCAGTGTGAAACAATGACTATGCTTATGAAACACTTGGCTTATATTCTGTGCTTTAGAGAATGCACAGAGAAACATCGTGCTCATAACAAGAAGCCACATCAAGAGAGGTTCATGCTAATCATAGCCAGAATACATTTACAATGTAATAGCAAAGATAATCCTAGGTACAGGAATGGATATCATCCAATGCTCTTGGAAAACTCTTACCTTGTGATGCAGTTGGTATTGGAGTGTTTCACACAGTTAGCAGCAGTTTACAGCACAGCATGGAAGCCTCGCAAGAATGAGATGTCTCAAACCTGGCAGTTCACCAGCTGGCAATAAGCAGCATTCTCTCCTTTACAGTTAATTTGTCCCTGCATCTGAACGCACTGATTTCTTGTCATCTTCACAGTAATGTCTCTAAGGTGCTGGGTTAATCTTAGATTTTATGAAAGCTAACACATTGGGGATACTTGGCTAAGTGTGTCTGCAAAACTTCCATGAGAGATCAGAGAATCATAGAATGGTTTCAGCTGGAAGGGACTTAAATATCACCCATTTTCTGTTTTGCCACCACAGGCAGGGATGTCACACACTAGGTCAGGTTGCCCAGGGCCCCATCCAGCCTGGCCTTGAATATTTCCAGGGATGGGTCATCCACAATATCTCTGGGAAACATGTTCCATTGCCTCACCATCTTTCAAGTAAATAATTTCTTCCTGATATCTAATCCAAATCTCTCTTTTTTTGATTTAAAATAGCTCTCTTTTGGTTTTTTTTTATCACTATCTGCCCACGTAAAAAGTTCCTCTTCCTTTTTTTCATAAGCCCCCTTTAAGTACTAAAAAACCTCAACAAGTTGGCCCCAGAGCCTTCTCTCTTTCAGGCTGAACAACCTCAACTCTCTCAGCCAGTCTTCAGAGGCCTGTTCTAGCCCTCTGATCATCTTGGTGGCCTTGTCTATGCCCTTCTTGTATTGGCAGCCCCAAAGCTGGATACAGCACTCTGGGTGCAGTCTCACAGCGGCAGGACAGAGGGCAGAATCCCCTCCCTTGACCTGCTGCTCATGCATGCAGTGCATGGATGCTGGTGCTTTGGAGACAGCCCAGGACATGTTTGGCTCTCTAGACTGTGAGGGCCCATGGATGGATCATGTCCAGCCTTTCTCACCCACCAGCACCTCCAAGGCCTCATGAGCAGGGCTGCTTTCAGTAACTTCTCCAGTCTGTGCCCATGTCTGGGATTGCCCCAACCCAGGTGCAGCACTTTGCACATGGCCTGGTAAAACTTAATGCGATTCTCATTAGCCCATTTCTTAAGCTTGTCCAGGTCCTTCTGGACTGTGTCCTGTTCTTCTATTGTCAGCTGCTGTCATGGTTTGACACTGGCACAATGCCAGTCCCCCATGAAAATGTGATCCCTCCCTTGAATGCTGTGAAGTGGAATCTAGAACAGAGCAAAGCAGGCCCAAGCTTAATAACAGAAAAAAACTTTATTAAGCTACTACTACAAAAGAAAAGAGAAAACTAAAGAAGGGAAAAAAAAACACACAAAGATCAAATTAAAACCTTGCAAAGCATTCCTCCCCCCACCACCCAGCTCCAACAAACCACAGTGAGACACAATCTGGACCCCAATCAAGTTTCCACCCTCCAGACAATCGATACTCAGTCCATCGAAGGAACAGAGTCTCTCCTGTGCCACAGACCCCCCCATCCTGTGTTTCCATGTCACACATGGCACCGCCTGGAGAAAAGTTTGCCATGGTGACCCTTCTCCTTTCCATGCACAGTGCTCTCACCACTAAATGCATGGATGGACAGACTGCTTTTAGGATTTTTCCTTTCAAGGATGCCCTGCCAAGAGGGGAGAAAACAACAGTTCAGTTTTTCATTGTTTGGGACCACAGTCCCCCCCATTTTCCCCTGGGGCCGAGGGCTCAAGAACAGAGATCTTCTTCTCTTCTCTTTCCTTTCCAGGACAAGGGGGCGCCACCACAAACGCCCTAACCTTTTCTCTGTTCACTCCACTTTTGTCTTTTTCCCAGCTGAAGCAGGTCTCTTGACTCACTGGCATCCTCCCAAAACACAGTCCCTCTTGGAGGAGAAGATTGGTTCAGGTTGTGGCTAACACGAAAAAGTCCAGCCAAAAGCCACTCCTTGTCCCCCTCCCATCTAGAATTCCTCCTTCTAACATCCCAGGGTCCAAGGTGTCCCTCTTCCTCTCTTTCAAACCAAGGAGGGGAAGGAAAAAATTCACAAAGCTTTCATTTCTCAAGGAAGGGTTAAAGGTCCGAACTCCCAGGATGGCTCAATGCCCAGACTCCGGCAACTCCCACACACTGGGTACCTTGCAGCTCCCCCCACTCCTCCTTCCTCGCAGTGGAATTGCTACCAGGACAGGACTGCCGCTGTCTCTTTCTCTCTCCCTCTCGGGAGAGAAACTCTGGGGGGAGATGGAGACATCCCAGATTTCTTCCACCCTTCCATCTGCAGGGGCCAGCCCGGTTCCAGTCCTTCCACCACACTTGGGACTACCTTTCTCAGGCCATGGGGCTTCCCCTCCCACACCCAGCTCGTTGCTGGGCAGGGGAGGTTTGCACTGCAGCTGACCGGAACCAAAGAGAGAGAGTTCCCCTGGGAATTCTGCTTTTAACCCCTCTGTGTTCTCAGAGGCGTGTCCACCTTCAATTGGTCAATATCTAAATTGACCTCTTCCTTACGGAAAAAATTCTCTTTCCGTGTCAAACCACGACAGCTGCACATGTCAGTTTGGTGTCATCTGCAAACCTACTGAGGGTGCAGTTGATCCCACTGCCCGTGTTGCTGATAAAGACACTAAAAGGTACCAGTCTCAAGATGGAGCCCTGAGGGGCACCACTCATCACAAGCCCCCACCTGGACACACAGCCATAGACCACAGTTCTCTGACTGTGTCCATACAGCCAGTTCCTTGTCCACCTTTCCTAGTTCACCTCTCAAACCCATGTGTCTCCAATTTAGAGATTAGGGTATTCTTTGGGACCACATCAAAAAACCTTAACTAAGTCCAGGTAGATGGTGTTGGTTGGTCAATGGATGGTTGGTTTTTCTACTCACAAAAACAGGGTTACTATTTTTCACATGTGTTAGCAATTATTTCAAAAACTGCAGTTAATTCTGTATTGCCCAAAATACAAACAACAGTGGAGAGTAAAATAATCTCTCCTTGTTTCCTTCTACACTTACAAGGGCTTGTGACATAAGTTGGTTTTATTTAAGTTGGCCCAAAGATTTGTTCACTAAGACGTTGGTTTAATTCCATGTTTTATGTTCACAAGAATGCCACCGTACCAGACTCTGTGACCCAGGAAGGCAGGACTGGATCTATCATGCTCCAAGACCTCTTTCATTTGGGTTTCTCTAAGTTTTTAACTAAAACATATCAATCTCTTAAATATTTGGTTCCTGGCAAATGTGTATTTCTGGCTGGAGTATTGAAAGTTGCAGAGTTTTCCTTTTAGAAATGTAACTGTAGCAGTTTCCAAGGAAATCATTTGCTCATAAAACTCATCAGGGAAAAGACAGTAGTACCTAATGTGTTCACACATCTTTCAGCTGGTGTATGTATTAACAATTTGTTTGAGGAGGAGATTTTGTTTCTCTGTTTATCATGTGCTGTTTTTCCTCCAAATTGTTCATGTGTTTATCAGATTTCCTCCAAAGGGAACTAAATCAGATGCTCCAGTCCCCTGCCTGCTGGCATCATTTGGTTCCATACCCATACAAGAACCTTATCCCCAAGAACATACACAAAGGAGTCATCATCATAAATAATTTAACTTTTTCTTATTTTTTCACTTGTGTTGCATATATATGATTGTTCAAACACAAGCTTAGGCTTTTCTATTTTGAAGACCAGGTTAGGCATGCATTTAAAGCCTGGTTGGTGCTGGATCTGAATTTGTGCCCTAGCTCAGAACACTCTAGTTCAGAAATAACCTTGGATAAAATCAGTTTTTGGAGGCTCAGCTACTTTACAATGAAGTAGAATTAGTCCTGCTATTTCTGGCATAGAAATGGAAGAGTCATGTCCTTTCCTTTCTTGTTTTGCTCCTTTCCAACATTACTGCAATACCTGAGTTTCCCAGAAACATCATGACTGCTTCCAAGCTCTGGCAATGTGTGGTAGGGAAGTGTGTAAATTTTTGGTTTCTATGTAGAGGATAAAGAAGGCCCCAAGACTCTATCAAACAGTTAGCATGACACACAGAAAGTTTGTTAGGGAGTCCTGAAACTAAAACTTGGTCTGCATGACTAACTTATGCTAACATAGATACGTTTTTTTTCCCCATATAATCACAGAATCATCAGTGCTGGAAAAGACCCTCAAGATCACCTATCCTACCATAATCACCCTAAACCCATGTGCCATATCCAGAGGCCTCTTGAAACACTTCCAGAAGTGGTGACTCCTCCACTTCTGCACTAGCAGCCCAGGACAGATTTGTCATCATTCAGGTGGCTTCCTAATTGGTGTCAAAGGTACAGACAGGGTGTGGACAACAGTCTATGTTTAGTGATTAAGCCATGCCACTTCTTGCCTACTTCAAATACTGAATGTAGAACAGGCCCTAAAAAAAGCCCACATCTCTTGGCAAAAAAGTATGAGCCAAGATGACAAAGAAGAAAAATTGTCTCTAGCTATCAAAATAAAAAAGCAAGGCTTTTAAAAACTTTAACTGGTGATGAGCAATTTTCAGTATTACAAGAGCATTTCAACTCATTGTAAGTGTTTCAGATAAATGTGAGAGGCAGAGGGAAAAACAAGTGAAATAAAAACAATATTCCAATAGTATTTTGTTTTGTAAAGAATACTCAAGGAATCTTTATACAAGAAACTTTTCAATGAATTTAAAAAATGGGGTTATTAATGAAACAGACAATTTTTATTCTTTGATGTTTGAAGAATACTAGTGTATAAAAATGTACATATTGGAGAGAATTATTTTTAGTGCTCATCCTGAAGAAAACAAAGCTCTAATATAATCTTACAGAAAGTGAAGTTATAGAAAAAGCAGAGTTAGGACCTTCTCAGAAGTGCACTGCCAGAGCACAATGGGCAAAAAGCAAATATCCAAATGGTGGTTGGATTTAAAGGAACAAGAAATCCTTGTCATGAAAGCAATTAAGCACTGGAACACATTCCCAGAAGAGCCATGAAATTTCTCTCCTAGGACATTATTAAAGCTCAGCTGATAACACCTTATACTTTCAGAGATTTCCTTGCACCTGCATTAGACTAGCTAGCACATTTTTACTTTTTTAGACCTAAATGTGACTTCTTAGGTTACCCAGCATAACCCAAAAGATGGAGGCAAGGATGCAGGCAGAAGCTTGGGTATAACCCTATGTTTACTGGATCTCTGTCTTTGAAGAGTAGGGTTTGCCATCATGCAAAGCCTCCTCTGCTGCCAGGAACTTGTGAGTTAGACTGAATATCTTTTTTGATGTGTAAATTTCTTATTTCTTATTTTATTTAAAATTCTATAGCTATTGTAATTCTTCATGATAAAATTAATTATATTTTAACAGTATCTTAGTGTTAGTCTTTTGAGGAGAAAAAGCTGCTTTGATTTGAAATAGTTTTTTTTTCCTTTGAGGCACAAAATGGTAAAAAAAAGAAGGTAAACTACATGGCAGAACAGTTCTCATTCTTTTTTGTCAGCTTCAATTTAGAGACTGCTTTGTATACTTTTTTACCTTCAAAAATAAGCAGTTAGGATGCTGCATATTTTAAACATTTTCTAGCAGGAGAAGGGAGGAAATTGAACTGGAAATAGAGAATGAGGCAAACAAAAAAAAGATTAAGAAGAAAACCCAAGATATTATACTTTTTTCCAAATCCTTAAGAAATTCTTTTTGCTAGGATACTTACAAAATATATCCTTTTGAAGAATTACATTTGTGAATATGTAAGAATATGAAAGAATTACATTTGTGAATATTTTATGAAAGGGGATCTTAGATTAAACCCTGTTGAAATATTAATTGGAAAGATTTCAACCAGCTCTGACAAATAGCTTTTTGCTTCATTGTGTTCATTAGAGTCTGTTTTGTTATCTAATCAGCAAAAGCAGTGAAACGGATTCCATTAACATGCCAGAAAGGCAAAGAGGGAATAATTCAGTGCTGGGATGCTAAACACAAGTGCTGCCTGGAAACATATCTACAAAAGTAACTTGCTAAATTCATGGTAATGGTCTGTATTTAAAAATAAAAAGGAGTTATCTCCTGTTGCAAGTAACATCAATTTTCCTTATAGAGGTCACTTATCAAAGTGTTTGGCCACGGTCCCCTGCTGTTCAGCAGCAAATCTCTGGAAGAATACTTTGTCAGGCCTAGGAATATATGGTGTCTAGATCCCTGATTCCTGCTTTTGTTAGGCTTAAAGCTAAATTGCTGCCAGCCCTTTCCAATCACAACCTACTGTAGTGTACCGGCAGAACTCTAAGAATGTGGTTTAAAAGCCAGAAAAACTGGAAAGGATGACAGACACAAGTTTAGGGGCAGATCTGACATCTGAACTCACTGGTACCACAACCTTTGCAGAGAAAAAAATTCAGGTCTTAGTCAACCACAGTTAAACACAATATAACAAAATCTTTCCCCTGCATGTTTACTTGAGTGCCTTGCTGGGTAGCAAACACTTCAATGAGTGTTTGGAATTTGTGATAAAGTACATTTTAGACAGATTCACATTCAGATAAAGGTAGGTATATTCACATAGAATATTCTTCCTTCTTATCTGTGTGATTAATGATGCAGGAATAAAATATGCTGTGTCTTGAATGATTCCCAAAGGAACTAAGAGACTTGCAGGAAACCAGCAAGGGAAATGTGCATCAGCTCTAAGCTATGCATGATGTTTCCCTCTGAATCAAATAGCTGAAAGTGTACTTAAAAGGGTTTTCCTTGGGGAATTTTATGAATAAGAATGAGGATTCTAGGCAGCTTATCTTAGAAGGAAAATGCTCTGTCCTGGACAGGAAGAAATAATATTTACTTTTACTTCTTTGGATTTGATACTCTGGTTCTTATGGCTTATTTCACTTGGAATTTTATTGAGCTTTTAACTGCAGGAAAACAATTTCACAGTTAGCACTAAACATACACAGAATTTTAGAAAGGAAGGGTAACGGTTATCTCTTACCTCTGTACAAAATCCTTTTGAAGTCAGTCCTTCTCGCTGTTATAATCTTAAAGCTTTTCCTCTGAGATCATAAGCATTTTCTTGAAGAGACAAGCCTGCAGTTCTTCAGAGAGAATAAGAATATTAATTCTGTAACTGAAGTGCATCCAAATTTGAAGCCATATTCTTGAATGCCATTAAAAGTTAGGATGCAAACATCAGCTATACATTAGTTTAGTAATCACTATTTCTGCACCATTGATTTTATTCTGATAATAGCTGACACACTTAAATTAAATCATCACTTCATTCTTATGCTGTGAAAAGTGTGTCAGTCAGCAAAACTAAAAAGTTTCAGCAGAAAGATTGTCAATGTACCATCATATGAAGTGTGAGTGTACATCTCTTTTTACTGAGTAACAGAAATCTCTTTTTCTAGAGGCAAAAGAGATGTACAGCTAAATACAATAAGTTAAACTATAATCATAATTCCCTCTTTATAATGTACATTTTGGTAATGCTCCAAAATATACAGCAACTGTAAAGATCACTGAGGAGGAAACTAAACACTCACCACATAAGTTTATTGCAGCTTGTTACTCAACTCTCCATCCTTGGCAAATGACTTTTGGAAAACACAAGATTTTATGACGATGTCCTATATTAATTTCTGCAGTGGTGGAAATTAAATTCCAAAGAAATGTACTTGAAAACATTAGGTGTTTTTTGCTTCACATAGAAACATCATCAAGAGGAGAAAAATATGAGCATCTGCTGTTGTACCGCAGAAAGGAACAATCAGTGCATGAACCTTGGTGGAAAAGCAAAAGTCATGGCAATGAAGTAGTGGAAGACAGAATTAAATCAGTCTCAGATAGCTTGGATCTGTTGACAAGATGTTGAGGTAGTTGGTTTGCTGGAGCTGATGTTCCAGACTGATCCCCAAATCACACTGCTATACTGTGACAATTTTTTCCATTGCTAATCTAGAAACAGTCTTATAATTTCCCCATGTAACACATATAAATACAGTGTTAATGCATTTGTAAGAATTGTGAAAGTGATGGACTCTAAGTCATTGAACTTTTAATGAGAATTTTTAATGGAGGGAAAAGTAACTGGTCTTTACAAATGATGCAGTGCCTGCTGTTAAAATGAGTCAATAAAAGGCTGCGGGCAAAGCAATTATCATATGCTGTCACTGATGTTTGTTTCTGAACCTGGTAAGAGGCTATGCAGCAAATTGTACAGTGAGATTTCTGGACACCTGTGGAAGAGATACAGACGCTTTTGCTTATTGTGAGCATATTGTCTGAAGACAGAACAAAAAGATACATGAAGGACTCAGTGATTTCCAGGTTAACTGCTAAATGAATGTTAAAATGAAGGTCGGAATTTTTCACAGGCTGTGCTGCTCTGGGTGTTTCACAAAGTGGGTCTCTCTATAAAACTCAGCCTCTAGAAAACACCACAGTATTTCCTCTTGTTCTTAAGGGGCACAAATTTAATGTTACAATGGATGTTAAATGGTATTTTCTGAAGCTGGCTGGTTTGGTGTTTACAAAAATAAGTTTTCAATTTAACAGCTAGAATTTTGTATCACACCAAAGCAAGCAGTATTTGACTACTATTTACCAGCAATTCTCAAATAGATCTGTATTTCTAGAACTCCAAAGCATCTAGAATCTCTGAAATGAAACTATGTACAGGTACTCAATACTGAAAGGGAAAAGCATGTACATTCCTAAGACTTCTTTTATTCCTCTTATTATTTGAGACCTCCAGAAGTTTCCTGCTGGCAATGACAGAAATTCCCTTCCCCCAGCATTGAGCCAGGCTGCAATTTTCCATAGTACTTAACATGCTGCTTCATATTCTTATTTTCCTACAAGTACATGCTCTGGGTTTCAAGTGCTTGTTAAACACAGCCACAGTAACTTTGTGGGGAAGCATCCCAGAAGGACCTCTTGCTTGAAGCTTGAAACAAAGAATTCAGTATACAATAGGCATTTCTCAGAGTTCCCAGAATAATGAGCAGTACACATGGCACAAAGGATTTCTGTTGTTTGAATGCTGCCTTTTTACCAGGAAGTGAGTTGGAAAAGGCTTGGCTTATTTATAAATAAAACAAATCTTTGGATGCTTATGTGATCAACAGCATTATTTGCAAAGTACAAGATTGTAAAGGTCAGTTCTAATTCTTCTTTCCATCACATCATAGAACAACACTTATAATGTCAGAATCGGTAACATTTTTAAAGTTTTGAAAGAAAGCCAGGATCAATATCATGACTGCCTTCTTATGCAGTGTCTTTCAAGATAGGGTATTACTTAATGGTAATCTCCTGTCCTGGTTTCTGCTATCCCTTAAATTATGTTGACAGTAGTGACTTTGTTTTTTTTTTTTTGAAGTACCCCAAATTTTGCTGGCATTAACAGATCTAGCCGAAAGGAAAAGATCCATAAAAAGTGTGGGCCTGGTTCTTCTCTCCCTTCTCACTTTTTTACTGACCCTGGAAGAACTGATCTCACTGACTTCCTCTGGAGCTAGGCCTGACTCAGCCAAACTCTACAACACTTAACTTCCATTACACAGGAGATCCTCTTCCTGTTCAGAAATTCAACTATAAACCCTTAATCAAGTCCCACTAGAGGCCCAGACAGGTAGGAGCCAGAAGTTACTAGGGTGCCAGAAATTAAGACCAATCCAGGGAAGGATGAGCACAGCACTGCTACACACCAACACATCATCAGGAGTCATAAACCCACTTGCTTGATTGACAAATAATTAGAGGGGTGCCTTTTGCCATGAAACAGATTGGACAGGGGAAAAGACATGTTCTTTTATCCTCCTATTAGCATTCTTAATCTTCAGGAAAACTGAAGTATCCAAGGCTCTGATGACTGAAGGCTTAAAGGACCATGCTTGAGGCAGTGAGGTGCTTTACTGAGGAGGGAGCATGTCCAGCCCTCACATGCTTGGCCACAGGACGACAATGTAGGGAGGTGGATGTTTCACCTCACCAGATCCACAGTGCTTTGTGTTTGGTGTGCTCTGTAATCCTGACTGAAAACTCCAGGCACTATTTCCTCTCACCATCTGGAGCCTCTGTCCAGGTTTTAGCCAGTCACCAGTCACTGTCTGCTTCCAGTGGAGAGTAGCTACCTACAGATTAACATCCCTTGCTTCTCCAAAGTCCTTCACCTTGCTGTAGCCCTGCTCTTCACTGAAAGCTAACCTCTATGCCATGGTTTACAGTGCAATTGCCTAAAAACCTTTCTGGGTTTCAGCCAAGTATGTTGCAGACTGAACTGGTTTTACCCTAGCCAGCAACCAGCATGGGAAGCACTCATACTGATTGTGCTGCAGTTTGAACATTTTGTAGTTAGATCAGTGTGAAACACCAGGTAAAATAAAGTTGGGAGAGGCCTTTGGCAGAATTTTATCTGTGGTGTGACAGGTACTCTAATTGTATGTGGGCGAGCACTGATGCAATCCAGAACAAGAAGATTATGTACAGACCAAACAGTTATTATTTTACCAGTGTATGCTTGACTGACCTCTATAAATACAGTAGCAAACTTTAAGGCACTGTTTCTCAATCTTGTTTACAGTGGATCCTTGTTTTAGTTATATCCAATGCATTAAACATAAAATCTAATATTTAACTCAAGCTGAACTACCAATTAAACAGCCATGAAGAGGAGGAGGCATGGGCTCTATGGGAAAAGATTTCAGAACAGACACAGTGATACATACAGAAGCCACTTCCTTCTATAATCAGAGAACATTTTGGCCAGCAGAAACTTAGGTCCGTACAGCATGCCCTGCAGTCCTTATCCTTGCTGGAGTCCCCATGGGTACACCTGAGAGACCACAGCATAATTCCCTTCTGGGGTAAGAGGGAGAACACTCCTTCATCTTGCCTGGGTACAGTCTTGGGATGCAGCTGGGTCATATCTCCAGAAATATAGACACTCTCATTGTCCCAGCATAGGCCTAAAAGGAAACAGAAGATGGAGGAAAAGGAAAGATCCAGGAAAATGATAGGAAAACATATAGCCTGGGAGAGAGAGAAGTAGCAAATAAACATGCAGTATGCAAACACAGAGTCCAAACTGAACAAGATCTGTTCACATGTCTTTTTCAGGTTGAAACCACAGCTGGCCTCGGGAAAGAAAGAGTCTTGAGAGAAACAAACTATTTTAAACTGCCCTCGTGCTCCTGCCCTTTCACAGTGAGTCACACTGTTTTGCCTGTTACCAGCTTCAAGGCTCAATCCACTGCTTGGACTTTGGTTAAAAATGTCTGGAGGCCCATACATACCTACTGACTGTGTGCCCACCTTGGCTCCTGGAGACCCTGGGGGTTGGGATGGATTGGAGTATCTCAAACCATTAAAAAAAAAGTTCCTGAAAAAGGAAAAAATAAAACTGAAATCACAAGGCTGCTAGGAAGTGCAAAGTGCAATGTCAGCACTGTGCTTGCCTGTTGGGCCAGCAGAGGTGGGGATGCAAAATGACTCTGAGCCACAGTGGGAGTTTTTATTGGAACTGTGAATGGTATAGTTAGAGCTGGACCCTAAAACGTAGCCAAAGCTGTACCACCCAGAGAAAAACAAAGACAAGACCTGTACTGTAGAATTCTTTTCATAGTGTGTATCTGGGTAGAGGACAATTTTAAGTCAGATTTCACATCACCCCTTACAGTAGAAAGTTATTTTTCAGTTAAGTCCTGAATGGGGCAGGATCAGTCACATGGTTAGTTCCAGTCAATGCACTAGTTCTGAAATAATCTCCTGTAGAAATGGTGGGACATAAAGAGCTGAAGCATGGGTATGCCAAAGAGCAAGAAAATGAAAGTCCTGACTCTTATGGAACAGCTGCCCTTGCATGCAGTCAATCCTCATCAGTGGTTATACAGTTGCCACTGTTAAATCATCTTCTACATTCTGTCAGTTTTTGTTACTGTACAAATCTGACCTCATCCTGGTCCCCTGCCAGTTCCAAAGAGCTGCTCTATTTACCCACTGTTGATGCAATATCTAAACTAAAAAGCTTTACAGTAACATTTTTAAGATGGAGAATAAAAACCAGCACTAGTACAGCAACTTATGTCTGAAA